CAGTAAGAACACACGTATCAACATTGAGAACGTCGACGCGTAGTATGGCGAGGCCATCCTGATGAACCTTTCATACTCGTTGTGCAAGTATGGTCGCACCGGCACCACCTTCATGAGCACAATCGGCGACAAACCCGGCCGGAAGTAGTGAATATTGAAGTGGTGCACGGCGGTAACGGGGGAAAAGTGTGCTCGTGGGGGGGAGATTGCGAGCGTGGCGGAAGGCTGCTTTGATGCAGTGGATGAAATGGTGGGAAGGGGGAGGCGGAGATTTGCACGTGAGTAATTCAGTGAAGTACACTTCACTTGTAGCAGGGGCGAGATCAAGTTTCGATAACATGCTGGAAATCGGATGGGTTTTGCATTTTTTGTCGGAAATAATAAAGTGTATTTGGTTGGGAAATGGTGCTCGGAGGAAGGAGATGCTCTTGAAGAGGATGCTGCACGCTCATGTCAGAGGTCGATTGTTGGATGACATGGGAAGCGGAGAACTCGGAATGGGGAGACGCAGTAGAATGAGTTTCGAGGACGGGCACACGACGGCGTGGGTGAAAGTGGCGGGGCCGCAGACCAAGTGTTGTGCCTGCGGTATTGTACACAGCATGTAGACCACGTGTACACCGCACACCACACAGAAGTACAGCATACAGTACCAAGGGTACTTTTCAAGCAGAGATGCATACAGTCAACATCATCGAGTAGTGCACCCCCATGTAAGGTTCCAACAACATGCAATACTCGCATCTTGCACTAATGAATGGGGTCACACAAAATACTCATTTACAAGCGTCTGGCGCCTCTTGGAACGACTCTGCTCAGCTTGCGCAGCCAGCAATGCGCGTTTTGCACAGCGCAAATGACGAACTGCACCCTCGTTGTGGTTGTGTTGGTGCCCTTGCGTTTCACTCGAGTAAGACGGAAAGGATATGTGCAGTATGTAGGCAATGTTGATCCGTTTACTGTTGAGCATCATCGGCTGCGTCGACTTGATCACTGTCTTGGAGAGCAGTCTAACAGCAATGTAAGGTATGATAACCTGTGTTTACCGAGACACCCCTGCATACTCACATGAATCATCCCGGACTCTGGAACGGGTCTGACAGGGCCGTTCCTCACTCGTGGAATTACACAATTCGGCATTATTGCGCAAGTCCTCTCTGTAGTGAAGAAAGCGTGTGATGCGTGGCTATCTACCGTCGCTCTCCAAACGCGCGGGCAGCGTTGTTGGATTAAGTTTTCTGCAGTACAGTACCGATACAGTACCAAGGGTACCGTTGGTACCCTAAAAAATTCCCAAATTGCCCCGCCCAGGAAGGGTACTGTAGGCATGTACAGGTACCTCTGCTACTGTACCCTTCGAAGGCAGATGCGTGTGACTGATGCTGCCGTGCAGTGCAGCACCGGAATCATGTCACGGTCTGTGCAAGCACGAAGATCTGCCGGCATTTTGTGTACCGTTCTGTACCCTTCAAGGGTACTGATTGTTAAGGAGTATCGAACCTAACGATTGGCGGCGACGGTGAGGGCGGTGAGGCAGCAATACTGTACCGTTAACGGTACTGTTAACGGTACACGGGTACTGCGCAGAGCGGAAGACCTTTCTGCCCTGGATGCAAAGCAGTAAATTATTGGGCAAAGCGGAAGACCTGGATGCAACTGTGAGCTCCTGCAGCACAGCACAGCAGAGTCACGCATCGCAGCAGCCCCAAAAACGGCGTGCCGAATGGCACCACCAAACTGCATACAGTAAAGGCGGTTCTGCGGCCTACGCAAGCTTCTGCATCCTACGCGCGTTTCTGCGAGCCAACCACAGCGCCTCTCCCGCCGTTACCTTCCTCCCCCCCCCGCCGCACCCCCGTCCCCCGCAGGAACACCCAACCACCATCCGCCCCCGCTGACACGTGTACGCCATCCTCGCCACCTCGAGACCTACTCTGCTGTATGACACGTCGTTGCCAGGCATTGCATCACCGCACCCCGTCACCCCATCTGCTTCCGCCCCCGTACAGCACTGATCCGCCGGAATTCTCGCCCCGCCAGCGCGCCGTCTGAAGCCCCTTTTAAGGCGCCCCCGCCTCCCCCGCCCCCACATGCCGCGCCGCAACCGCCTCGTCTCCTTCATCGGCTCCGCCCACGCCTCCCGCACGCACCGCCCCGCACGCTCACGCACCTCGCTCGCCATGCCGCCGCCCTCCGTCACTACCCCGCTGCTGCCCCAGAACAGCCGCGCCCCCGCGCGCACAGACGCCATCCGCTGGCGGGAGACCGCCTCATTCGTCCTGCCTTACATCGTCCCCGAGACTATGAAGCTCAAGCTCATCGCTGCATTCTCCGTCTTCTGCGTGCTTGCCAAGCAGGGCTCCGCCTTGCTCACGCCTTACGCTTTCAAACTCGCCGTCGATACTCTCACCAATAACTTGCTCCCCGGCGGAGGCTTGGTCGTTCCTTACTTTGCCATTGCTTTGTATGTCCTGTCCAAAGTCTTCTCCACTTTGTTCGGCGGTCTCCAGGGGTATACCTACTCTATCGTCGCCGCTACGTGCACCAGGAGGTTTTCCGTCGCCATGTTTACGCATTTGCAAAACTTGAGCTTGGCCTTTCATTTGTCCAGGCGCACGGGAGAGGTTACCAGGATTATGGATAGGGGGAGCAACTCTATTGAATCCGTCGTCAACACCGTCGTCTTCACTTTGTTCCCGACGTGAGTTCACTCTCATCCTTGAGTTGCCCTTTTCTTTCTCGACTCCATTCTGACCCTTGTTTGGCTTGCTTGCTTCCATTTCTTCCCTGTAGAATCATCGAAGCACTCGTAGTCACCGCTATTTTCTTCAAGTTGGGCACGCCCTGGATCGCCATTACTACCTTAGCCACTGTCATCGCGTATTTTGTCTTCACTTTTGCGATCACCAATTGGAGGTAAGTTTTGTGCTCGCCAATGCGCCACTCATCTTTCGTCATTCCCCTCTGACCGCAACCTACATCCCCGCTTTCGGAATCCCTTTTCAGAATCAAATATCGGAGGGATCTAATCGAGGCCGATAACAAGCTGTCCGGTACGTTCATCATCTCTCATTTACTCATACCTGCCTAACCACTCGCTCTCGTCACCTGACTCTCGTTCTGTTCAATACCTCGCATTTCCTTGGATATGCAAATCATTGCTATCCCTTCACTTTGACAATTACAGAACAGGTAAGCCCGCATCAGTATTTCACCCACACGAATGCATTTTCGCCCCTCTTGTCATTCTAACCTCCCTCTCGCTGTCCTTTCCACCTCCACTTACAACAGGCCGTTGACATCCTCATCAACTATGAGACTGTCAAAATGTTCGGCATGGAGCAAGAAGAAGCTTCGACCTACGCAGCTCTCCAAAAAGCTTACCAAGACATCTACATCTGGTTCCGTCTCACCCGCAACGCAATCAGCCTGGGGCAGGACGCCATCAAATCTATAGGTTTGGGAAGTGCCATGGTGCTTGCGGCCATCGGTGCTGCGCATGGCAACTTGACCCCGGGAGATTTTGTCCTGATCAATGCATATGCGGCGCAGCTTTTTGGGCCGTTATTCGTAAGTTTGCATGCTTTGTCGCATTGCATCGCATTCTCATCACTTTGTTTTTTCATCTTTTAACATATTCCCCTTCTCTCATCCACAATTGACCATCACATTTTGCTCGGCGTTCCAGTCCTTGGGCTCGACGTATCGAACGCTAACCCAAGCTGCCACAGACTTAGAGAAGTGCGTCAACCTGTTGACTGAACCCATTACCGTCCAGGATGATGCGAACGCTAAGCCGTTCGAAGTAGAAGAAGAAGCGCTCGTAGAGAAGCGCGTTGGCGACGTCAGGTTTGAGAACGTTTCTTTCAAATATCACGGTACGGAAAGAGGGTCAAGCGGTGGCCTGCGTAACATCTCCTTCCATGTTGCTCCAGGGAGAATGGTTGCGTTCGTTGGAGCTTCTGGAGCGGGCAAGAGGTAAGTTTTGAATTACTGTCTGGGGGGCGGTTTTGTGAAGGCTGTGGATGGTGTGGGAGACGCAAAAGTTGTCTTTGTCTTTGCATTTGCGGAGGATCTAACATTCTTCTTGTACTCGATTATATTTTTGTCGCCATTTGCGTTCTGCAGCACAATCATTCGGCTGTTGCTGAGATTCTATGATGTCGATAGCGGGTCAGTGTTTATCGATGGCGAGAATGTAAGGAACTATTCTCAGGAGTCTCTACGCAAGCAAATTGGAGTTGTCGCGCAAGATACGGTACGAAAATTCTATCGCTCATGAGTGGAGACAAATGCGAATGAAACGAGGTGCCCTTCCATGTCCTGTAATACTAACAATGTGGGCTTTTCTTTTTTTCTTCTCGGCGCCTCTGACAATTACATTCAGATCTTGTTCAACCGATCTCTGCGATTCAATATTTCATACGGCAAACCGGATGCATGTGATGCTGAAATTTATGACGCTGCACGTTCGGCTGCTTTGGGAGACTTCGTTGATTCTCTCCCGCTGAAGCTGGACACCATTGTCGGAGAGCGGGGAGTGCGCCTATCAGGAGGGGAACGACAGCGCGTAGGGTGCGCCAGGTGTCTGATCAAGGCACCCGCTATTGTTCTGCTTGACGAGGCGTCGTCATCATTGGTAAGTGCTGAGCACTGTTCTGAAAGAAATTTTTGTGGCACTTTGGTTATACGCGACACGCTGTGCAAGATGTCTGACCTCATTCTGAATCCACACCCCTCATCACCGCCCCGATGCACAGGACACGCAAACGGAAAGAGAAATGCAGGCAAACCTGCGGGAAGTATGCAAGAACCGAACCACGATCGTGATTGCACATCGACTGTCTACAATCATGATGGCGGACGAGATCATTGTCCTTGGCACAGATGGCGCAGAAGAGGGCCTTGGTACCGTTGTCGAGAGAGGGTCCCATGCTGAGTTGATACGGCAGAAGGGGTCATACGCCGAAATGTGGGACTTGCAGACGTCGTTCGATAACGGCGAGTTGTCAGAAGCATCCGAAGTCAAGGATTCGAAGAAGTGAGTTGCCCTCGAAAGCGGCGCGACTTTGCTCCATAAATACAGTTGTGGAATGCCAGAACCCCATATTTGTGCACATGCATGCCATCGCCTGACGAGCAGCAGTCTTGCCGACAACACACAGGGCTAGAGCATATTGCGAACTGCCTGCACCATGAAGTGAAGACTGTATTTTGAAAGTAAAATTAACTGGCTTCTTCTACTAGGTGCTTTGCTAGTCGTACTTCAATGTTATCCGCGTATGCACCTAGAAAGGTCGCCTTTTAAGCAGTAAAGCAGTAAAGCAGTAAAGCAGTACAATGTTGAAAAGATATTTGTGCGAATGATAGAAATACGGAGAAGGGTTAGACGAATAGGAAGAATGTAGTAAGCCAATTCTAGGGTGATTGGGTGCACTTCACGTACAAATCCGTTCAAAGGCGCTGCCGATAGCGACACAACAGCATTGACATCTTCATGGCTGCCTCAATGAATTTTGTGACCCCACGCGGTCGCTTATGCAACTGCTGGGAACCTTGACTTGAAAGACCGTCTATGTTATGTCGAGTTGTGTGTCGATTTGAGTGCTCGGAAGAAGATCCAGGCATGGCGAGATTCTTTATGGTCTTTTCGTCCAGATATAGGTTTGCAATAGCTGTCTCATCGTCAAACGGAACAGAAACCATAGTTTTACCAACTGATGGTTCTCCGCTTTGATACAGGTCTAGTAACGAACGCTCTGTAAACAGAGCGGCTTTCATTAGACACTCTATCACTTCCCAAGTCTTCCAAGCGCGATAGAGGCATGGGCGGTTCTTCTAGATCATCAACGTCCATGGGTTCACTCTCAATGAATTCATTGCCAAAGTGAGGAGGATATTCAGACTGCCCATGTGCAGTATGATCCTCTGTTTCCATCGGCGGCATTGCTGGTACAGTATGCCCATTTGCAGAGACCCTTCTTCGCTGCTGTCGTCTATGGCAATCGGTCCTGAGTTGGCGTTGTTAGTAGGAACTTCATCAGCTAGAGCGCCTGATGAAGGGACATTGGATGTTGTTAAATCAGCTCTCGGCGCCTCTGCCACAGTTGCGGTGAGTCTTCGCCACCTCGACACCTATGGTACGTCGTTGCCAGGCATTGCATCACCGCACCCCGTCACCCCATCTGCTTCCGCTCTCGTACAGCACTGATCCGCCCGAGTTCTCGAGGCGCCAGCACGTCGTCTCAAGCCCCTTTTAGCGCGCCCTGCCTCCCCGCCTCCACAGGCCGCGCCGCAACCGCTTCGACTCCTTCATTGGCTCCGCCCACGCCTCCCGCGCGCAGCGCTCCGCACGCTCACGCACCTCGCTCGCCATGCCGCCGCCCTCCGTCACCACCCCGCTGCTGCCTAACAACAACCGCGCCCCCGCGCGCACCGACGCCATCCGTTGGCGGGAGACCGCAGCCGTCGTCCTGCCGTACATCATCCCCGAGACTACGAAGCTCAAGCTCATCGCCGCCCTCTCCGTCTTCTGCGCCCTCGCCAAGCAGGGCTCCGCCTTGCTTAGGCCCTACGCTTTCAAACTCGCCGTCGATACTCTCACCAATAACTTGCTCCCCGGCGGAGGCTTAGTCATTCCTTACTTCGCTATTGCTTTGTTCGTCCTGTCCAAAATCGCCTCCACTTTGCTCGGCGGCGTCCAGGGCTACACCCACTCCATCGTCGCCGTTATGTGCGCTAGGAGGTTTTCCGTCGCCATGTTTACACATTTGCAAAACCTGAGCTTGGCCTTTCATTTGTCCAGGCGCACGGGGGAGGTTACCAGGATCATGCGTAGGGGGATCAGCTCTCTTGGGTCCGTCGTCAACACCGTCGTCTTCACTTTGTTCCCGACGTGAGTTCACTGTCATCCTCGAGTTGCCCCGTTCTTTCCCGATTCCATTCTGACCCTTGTTTTGCTTGCTTGCTTGCTTGCTTGCTTGCTTCCATTTCTTCCCTGTAGCATCATCAAAGCACTTGTAGTCACCGCTATTTTCTTCAAGCTGGGCACGCCCTGGATCGCCATTACTACCTTAGCCACTGTCATCGCGTATTTTGTCTTCACTTTTGCGATCACCAATTGGAGGTAAGTTTTGCGCTCGCCAATGCGCCACTCATCTTTCGTCATTCCCCTCTGACCGCAACCTACATCCCCGCTTTCGGAATCCCTTTTCAGAATCAAATATCGGAGGGATCTAATCGAGGCCGATAACAAGCTGTCCGGTACGTTCATCATCTCTCATTTACTCATACCTGCCTAACCACTCGCTCTCGTCACCTGACTCTCGTTCTGTTCAATACCTCGCATTTCCTTGGATATGCAAATCATTGCTATCCCTTTACTTTGACAATTACAGAACAGGTAAGCCCGCATCAGTATTTCACCCGCACGAATGCATTTCGCCCCTCTTCTCATTCTAACCTCCCTCTCGCTGTCCTTTCCACCTCCACTTACAACAGGCCGTTGACATCCTCATCAACTATGAGACTGTCAAAATGTTCGGCATGGAGCAAGAAGAAGCTTCGACCTACGCAGCTCTCCAAAAAGCTTACCAAGACATCTACATCTGGTTCCGTCTCACCCGCAACGCAATCAGCCTGGGGCAGGACGCCATCAAATCTATAGGTTTGGGAAGTGCCATGGTGCTTGCGGCCATCGGTGCTGCGCATGGCAACTTGACCCCGGGAGATTTTGTCCTGATCAATGCATATGCGGCGCAGCTTTTTGGGCCGTTATTCGTAAGTTTGCATGCTTTGTCGCATTGCATCGCATTCTCATCACTTTGTTTTTTCATCTTTTAACATATTCCCCTTCTCTCATCCACAATTGACCATCACATTTTGCTCGGCGTTCCAGTCCTTGGGCTCGACGTATCGAACGCTAACCCAAGCTGCCACAGACTTAGAGAAGTGCGTCAACCTGTTGACTGAACCCATTACCGTCCAGGATGATGCGAACGCTAAGCCGTTCGAAGTAGAAGAAGAAGCGCTCGTAGAGAAGCGCGTTGGCGACGTCAGGTTTGAGAACGTTTCTTTCAAATATCACGGTACGGAAAGAGGGTCAAGCGGTGGCCTGCGTAACATCTCCTTCCATGTTGCTCCAGGGAGAATGGTTGCGTTCGTTGGAGCTTCTGGAGCGGGCAAGAGGTAAGTTTTGAATTACTGTCTGGGGGGCGGTTTTGTGAAGGCTGTGGATGGTGTGGGAGACGCAAAAGTTGTCTTTGTCTTTGCATTTGCGGAGGAGCTAACATTCTTCTTGTACTCGATTATATTTTTGTCGCCATTTGCGTTCTGCAGCACAATCATTCGGCTGTTGCTGAGATTCTATGATGTCGATAGCGGGTCAGTGCTGATCGATGGCGAGAATGTGAAGAACTATTCTCAGGGGTCTCTACGCAAGCAAATTGGAGTTGTCGCGCAAGATACGGTACGAAAATTCTATCGCTCATGAGTGGAGACAATGCGAATGAAACGAGGTGCCCTTCCATGTCCTGTAATGCTAACAATGTGGGCTTTTCTTTTTTTCTTCTCGGCGCCTCTGACAATTACATTCAGATCTTGTTCAACCGATCTCTGCGATTCAATATTTCATACGGCAAACCGGATGCATGTGATGCTGAAATTTATGACGCTGCACGTTCGGCTGCTTTGGGAGACTTCGTTGATTCTCTCCCGCTGAAGCTGGACACCATTGTCGGAGAGCGGGGAGTGCGCCTATCAGGAGGGGAACGACAGCGCGTAGGGTGCGCCAGGTGTCTGATCAAGGCACCCGCTATTGTTCTGCTTGACGAGGCGTCGTCATCATTGGTAAGTGCTGAGCACTGTTCTGAAAGAAATTTTTGTGGCACTTTGGTTATACGCGACACGCTGTGCAAGATGTCTGACCTCATTCTGAATCCACACCCCTCATCACCGCCCCGATGCACAGGACACGCAAACGGAAAGAGAAATGCAGGCAAACCTGCGGGAAGTATGCAAGAACCGAACCACGATCGTGATTGCACATCGACTGTCTACAATCATGATGGCGGACGAGATCGTTGTCCTTGGCACAGATGGCGCAGAAGAGGGCCTTGGTACCGTTGTCGAGAGAGGGTCCCATGCTGAGTTGATACGGCAGAAGGGGTCATACGCCGAAATGTGGGACTTGCAGACGTCGTTCGATAACGGCGAGTTGTCAGAAGCATCCGAAGTCAAGGATTCGAAGAAGTGAGTTGCCCTCGAAAGCGGCGCGACTTTGCTCCATAAATACAGTTGTGGAATGCCAGAACCCCATATTTGTGCACATGCATGCCATCGCCTGACGAGCAGCAGTCTTGCCGACAACACACAGGGCTAGAGCATATTGCGAACTGCTCTGCACCATTAAGTGAAGACTGTATTTTGAAAGTAAAATTAACTGGCTTCTTCTACTAGGTGCTTTGCTAGTCGTACTTCAATGTTATCCGCGTATGCACCTAGAAAGGTCGCCTTTTAAGCAGTAAAGCAGTAAAGCAGTAAAGCAGTACAATGTTGAAAAGATATTTGTGCGAATGATAGAAATACGGAGAAGGGTTAGACGAATAGGAAGAATGTAGTAAGCCAATTCTAGGGTGATTGGGTGCACTTCACGTACAAATCCGTTCAAAGGCGCTGCCGATAGCGATACAACAGCATTGACATCTTCATGGCTGACCTCAATGAATTTTGTGACCCCACGCGGTCGCTTATGCAACTGCTGGGAACCTTGACTTGAAAGACCATCTATGTTATGTCGATTTGTGTGTCGATTTGAGTGCTCGGAAGAAGATCCAGGCATGGCGAGATTCTTTATGGTCTTTTCGTCCAGATATAGGTTTGCAATAGCTGTCCCATCATCAAACGGAACAGAAACCATAGTTTTACCTCTGCAACTGATGGTTCTCCGCTTTGATACAGGTCTAGTAACGAACGCTCTGTAAACAGAACGGCTTTCATTAGACATTCTATCACTTCCCAAGTCTTCCAAGCGCGATAGAGGCATGGGCGGTTCTTCTAGATCATCAACGTCCATGGGTTCACTCTCAATGAATTCATTGCCAAAGTGAGGAGGATATTCAGACTGCCCATGTGCAGTATGATCCTCTGTTTCCATCGGCGGCATTGCTGGTATGCCCATTTGCAGAGACCCTTCTTCGCTGCTGTCGTCTATGACAATCGGTCCTGAGTTGGCGTTGTTAGTAGGAACTTCATCAGCTAGAGCGCCTGATGAAGGGACATTGGATGTTGTTAAATCAGCTCTCGGCGCCTCTGCCACAGTTGCAGTGAGTCCACTTTGTCTGTCATTCCGGTCGCTTCTACCCGATTCCCGTTCCTGAAGTGATTTATTTCTTGTTCCGGCATTGATTCTTGACGGAGTAATATCAGCCAGTTCTGCAGCTTCTGCCCAGAAATCATCGTCCTCTTCGTCATTTTCATCTACAAGAATCCGTGCGTCGGAGATGCCGCCTAGATCGGGGAATAGTCTAACTCCGCTCTGTGCAGCGTCTCTTGATATGCTATCAAACGTGGATGTCTTTGGGTTTGGGAGACCAGCTGAGCTCAGCGCAGAAGATATTTTCTCGTTATACGCAGAGCCCCAAACGTTGGACGGAGGCGGTCCCAAATATGTGAAGTCCTTCGAGGTGAGGAAAACGCGACCCCGTCGCACCAATGTTGTCGGATGAAGAATAATTTTTGTGCCGGGAATTGTGAGCAAAGATATCCTTTGCAGGGACTCTAATTCAACAGCAACAAAGTCGGTACAACCGTCAGTAATGGTAACTTGGAGCACTGTTGGAGAGGTCTTGGACCTTGGATCGGAAGAGGCAATGTTTATTATATCCTCAACTTGGACGAGCACCTTGGTTCCGAGTTGCACTGAGTGTGCTTCAAGTACATTCCAAGGCAGTGTTCCCTCCGTAATCTCACAGATGTCGGCTCTGCATATGGGTCCAGCCACCATTTCAGGCGACAATGTTACCTGACGTCGAATCCACGACAAGCGAACATTTCGGAGGCCAAATCGTTTCTCTAGTAATTCTCTCAGCCCATCCTCTGCGTCCATGTTTGTCCCGAAACTCCTTGACTAATGCGTCTATCTCACACATTTGCGTAACACTTCAGTTCTCTTTTGGCGAGAGTCAGGTGACACTGGCGATCCAATCCTCGACGTGACATGTGAAGCATAGAAGTGGATAAAGTCGCGTTTCGGACACTCTTCTGAATAAAGACCTTTTTCAAAACTAGAGCACCTGACCTCAATTTTAATCCTTTTTTTGATTATCAAGGAATCCGTGGGCTCCAACTATGTACTAAAGTGAGGACCTGCCACCAAATACTCGCGGCTTGCGCAAGGAGTTTCCCATTCGAAGAATAACTCAGCGCCAGCAGCTCTGCTGCACTACGTACCATCCAGCAACAGAGCGACGCTTTTGCTCCGAAAACCTTTTCGCAGATCGCCTAGACGAAGGCTAAAATGGCGAAGTATCTTCCAGAAATGAAGCAGTGGATGGAAAAGAGATTAAGTCGTACGTTTCACCCTTTTGTCATAGTGAGCTAGCTGAAGGTGATAACAAAGCGACTTCCGGTATCTGACCTTAGAATATCTCACCACATTCGTGCTTGCGCTGCGTTTTGATACCGCATATGAATTGCTCTTTAACAGTCGGTCTGAATGGGAACCGCACTGTTGAGGGCACTCTGCGAGGGTACGATCAATTCATGAATATTGTCTTAAATGACTGCGTAGAAGTAAAGAAGGATGGTGAAAGGCGTCCGATTGGCATGAGCGTAATCAGGGGAAATTCAATTTTGACGATGGAAACACTTCAGCGTGGTTCGTGACCACTGCCTTCTCAGTTGTTGAGCACGGATTGTGTTAGCATTGCGCAAGAGTCAGAATTCATGGGGCTGTTGATGGACATGTTTCTTGTCGCAAGACATCGCCATACGCCAAGCGTCCTTCTTCTCTTCACCTCGCAAGATCGCATGGCTGCGGAATTAAATATTCCGCTTTCAAAGTCGCGGGCCATTTTGTTTTGAAATGCACAGGCCACTGTCTCTGAGTTGTTGACTACTTCCACTTTTGACCGTGGCTTAGACAAGAACCAATGTCAACACTTGCGATTTGTGCGTATTGTTGCGAGTAGAACACCATCTTACATCTCTGTACAGGACACCGTTATTAGTACTGAGCCTCGTCCTTTTCAGGCAATGAATTGCAGAGTAAAGTACAATGCAACACTCGTTCTTGCATTCACCTGGTATTGATTTCATCCTTTACAGAATGAGGTTCGATGCAAGGTCCCCGAAGCAAGAGTGGTCATGTGGTTACCAAAACTGGCTTGAGGGAGGGTAGCAAACCCAACCTGATGGATTTCTCCCCCCAAACTTAAAGTAGACACAATATCATTATAGGGTGCTCAACGATGAAGCAATGACATAGAATGCGTCTGACGGAGCTCGGAACGATTACCTCTTGGATCCTCCAAACGTGTTACCCTCTGTCTCAATGTGCAGCTCTGCCCATTCAACAATCCATGGACATAGAACGTAGCCGCGTTCGAGTTTGGGCGAAACGTATTTTTCTTGTAGCGCATGTGGAAAGCGGAATAGTCCTTCAGTTTGCGGGAAAGGATGACAACTAACAAATATGAATGCCTGATGTGAGGGTTCATGGTAGTGAAAGATATTCACTTGGCCCTTTCCATAAATCTTCTGTTTCTTTACTATGTCGCTTTCCAGTCCTTCAGCATGTCTGAGTAGCAAGAGAGGGGGTGGCGACGGATCTGATCCTCGCTTATGTTCTTGTGAACTTCGAAAAAAAGCCGCATGCAAGTATCGGAGAGAAATGTACTCATGGAGGCGAGATCATTTATTACAGGAGAAAACGCTTTCCCTCAAGTTTGCGCAATCAGGGTTCAGCGTCTGTGATGGTTACGTTAAGAACAAGAAACACAGCAACGTATATAAATAACAGTGTCTTGATCTGAGAGTAGGGTGCCGACCCACTTGACGCATGGTGACCGGATGGACTATGAACCGCTTCAAGGTACTTCTTGGGAAGTCCTCAAACGTCCAAAAGTCTTCTTAATGTTATGTTATCAGTGATACTGTATCAGCCGAGAGAGGTGATTCCTGAATTGCATAAACGCACATCTTGACCATTTTCGCCATCCTTGGCAGATTGAAAGTCGTATCAGGATGCGTTTTGGATATCTGCTGTACTTCGTTCGATGCCGCCGGTTTCCCGAATACCACCTTCTGACTGACATACCGGGGCATCCATATCATATTCTCCGTAACATAACGGTGTTCGGAATTGCACAAGCAAGACTCGCGGAGAGTTTTATGCTTTAGACAATTGTAGGGCTATTACCCTGGTTGATTGGCGCATCCAACCGCATGCATGGGGAAGAGCTCCATCGGGTGTTGTAGCGAAGTTTGCCGATACGCAGAGTTCAGGATTTGCCATTTATTGGATGTATACAGTCGCTCTTGTGCTTGCACGAAGCCCAAGGCAGTTTGTGAAAATGGTCAGGAATCTCGTTAACCAAAATCTCTCCGGTACTGTGTGCAGATAAGTAAGTTGAGTACGGCATGTTCTTAAAGCTGTTGATGCGCCCTGTCATTGCGCATTCCAGTTGGAAAGTACATAGATAACTATGGTGTTCCATTCGAGAAAACCATAGGCATGATTCAGGTCGGGTGTTCTCTTCAAGTGGTTTCACTTCTTCCAGACCCTCGCGATCTTACAAGCAGGGAACCCTGACTGCCCCCCATGCTGCTGTACCCGTCAAAGGAAAAACTATCCATTGGTCTTGGTGGTAGCTCGCCCGGGCCACCAAGGAGTGGTCCATTCTGTTTGAGTTTGTCCGCCACCGGTCCTTCACAGAACTGTTTGAATGCTTCGATCTTGTCCAGACCAATGTCCCTCTTCATTTCCTGGACTTCTTCCGTATCATGTTTGAGAATGTCATGAACCGCACAAATGATGCGCAGTAATTCCCCTCTATAGTTCGCCGGACCTCCAATTGGTTGTCTCCTACCGTCTCCCCCCCCATTCCAAAGGTCCATGCATTTGTCTACTATTTGAACGTCGACCAAAAAGGCCCTTCTCAAACAACTGAATTTGCTCGCGAATGAAAGTTCAACAATCGCAGCTACAAAGTGTTGCAATAGGCTGTTTAGCCTTAGTCTTACAAACAGGTCTAGGAGAATGCGCGGAATTTCAGCTTTCGCGATCGCTCTCGCCGTGGCTTCACTGCAGTGTTGCAGGAGGACGACAATAAGCTCCAAAATCTTTAAGCGCACAACTCCAAGAGGATTCTCCACCTTCTCCCACATCGTCTGCACGACGGCCCCTGCCCTCGCGTGTTCCAAAACTTTGGCAAGTCTCGGAATACGGGCCCGAATCCCGGCCTCATACATAGAGGTATTCACAGCAAGCAACTGCAATCGGATTGTGCTCAAGCTCGAGTCTTGCCCCTTCAATGCAGTGACCAGTAGATAGCGCGCTGCCGTCAATGCAGTAGATAGAGCGTATCCCCGCGAGTCATGCGCCGCAAGTGCCGTCAATCCCGAGTCTAGTAATCTCAGGATCGGCGTGGGCTGACTGAAGACGTCAAGAGAAGAGAGATCGTTGTTAAACTTCCTCATATAGCTCGCGTCAGAGTCGTCATCGTTGATTTCAAACCTTGGAATGACCAAAGCCCTCAACGCAATGCCGACGATAACCCTTGAGCAATTCTCGATCGTCGACGACGAGGTTCCATCTAAAGGCCCACTCTCCGCCGCATCTGCAAGCTTGTCACAAAGAGTCATTACTAGCCTGGAATCGGCCATCATACCGACAACTTTCTTATTCGAGGGCCCAAACTTGAGCTCGGCCTGGCATCTCACGGTGCTGAGCATGGACAGACACACTTCCGGACAGCCTGTGACCGCGATGTGTGACAAGAGAGCTTCGATAAAGTCCTTTCGACGGGCCATGGCACCAACGGTGTCTTCTGGAGAATCTTTCAAAAGGTTAAGCAGGACCTTGCACACAGAACGTACTAGGATGGGATCGTTCGGAACGCCGTGACCCAATACGCGCACGAGGCGATCGAGATGCTTGGGATCAAGGAAGAGAGAGCGCCGCAACTGAATCGGGCCGTTACTAAGCAACATAGTAGCGACGTACGAGTATCTGTACCGCTCGCGAGCCGCAACGGACATTTGCATGCCGTCATCCTCCGGTGAGGGCGGCAGCACGACGGTGAGATTATCGATGAGAGCTTCCATATTCTGCTGCCTCGTCAAATATTTCATGAGCAAGTCCTTGACGGTCGGAGGCAACCTCTCCTCCAAGCGGTACATCTCGTCCAAAAGGGTCCTAAACGCAACCCTGCCCGCGGTCGCACCCTCAATGATGACAGCAAAATTGGCGGCACTATGCGTGGGGGCGACAGCGCTTCCAGGTCCCACATGCGGGGCGTGGCGCGCATTAATGGACTTTGCGAGCTTACCTTCGCGGCCCTGATCGCCCTCACCGACATCGCCCGCATGCGAAGAGCCGCGAATACCGCCCGGCTTTCCGGAAGTGCTCATGCGTTTGCGCGACGCAAAGCCGCCAAAGCCCCTGCCCGAGAAGCTGGGCGGAGAGGAGAAGACCCTCTTGGGGAGCGAGCGGTGCGAGCCGGCCCTGGGCTGGGCGGAGTGGTGCGAGGAGACGGAGGCAGACTCGGCGTTCGAAAACGTGGCCGAGACTTTTTTCGAGGCGTCCGTGGCGCTCGCGCGCAGGCTCATGAAGCGGCGCGAGTCGCTCTTGGACGCGCCGAGCTCCGGGCCCTGGCGCTGCGGCGGCGGGTGCGGGTGGGGGTGCGAGTGGGAGGACGAGAGGTTGAGGGCGCGCGAGGAGATGCCATCGCGCCAGGTGCGGGCGCGCGGGGCGGGCGAGTGCTTGCGCGTGTGGGGTGGGTGCTTGTCGGGGGCGAGGTGCGGGTGTTGAGGGGGAATGTCGTTGGGATAGAGGGGGTGGTGCGGAGGGTGTGTGGGGTGCTTGTCCAGGCGGGTGGACTGGGCTGGGATGCGGAAGACGCGACGGATGCGTTTGAAGAGACCGGTTTTGGACTTGTGCTCGGCGTGGCGCGGGGCGGGGATGGCGGGGTTGCGGCGGGGAAGGGCGGTGGCGGATTCGTCGGCGGAGAGGGAGCGGACGACTTTGGAGGAGGAAGTCATGGTGAGGGCGGGGGAGGGACGGGGGTCCTGCAAGGAAGGGAAGGG